TTAGCATTTGATGAATAGATGAGCAGATTTAATCATGTAGAGATCCTGCTATTACTCGTATCTTGTACATTTCTAACATAAATATAACAAATATCTACTCATCAAGGAAAACGCCACTGGTAGGCCTACTGTAGCAAATTACAAGTGTAATGCTGAGGAGGAAAATTATTAACTGTGTGGGATAAAATGATCTACCAAGCGTTTCCCTATCCACCAAATATATTGAATCTCACAAAAGGTCAAACTGATTTTGCACATTTGTTTCATTATATAAGGCTATTGATAAGGAAAAAACAAAACAGCAGTCATACACTTTATAAACAACAATATATATTGTGTCTTTTTCGTAATGACCTTACTTTTATTATTGATTAAAAAACAGGGCTTTTTTCCATGGGAATCTAAATAATTTAAACGCGACCAATTTAGAAAATATTGTGGCACAATGAGCCCAATACATGGTAAAATAATAAATAGGAGTGGTTTTGATTTATTATGATTGAAACAGTAATTACTACACTATTCATTTTAGTAACGTTTTATATTGTAAACCATTGTGGTGTTTCCTTATTTTTCCACAGAGAGTGCGAGCCAGCTCCAGCTCGTGGGGCCCGTCAGACGACCTGGACCCTCAACATGAGATCTGCGATGCCACCAAACAGCGAGAGAAGGGTGTTGTGTGTGCTGTGTCGATCTCTGTTGGTGTGTGTGTGTGTGTGGTGTGTGTGTTGTGTGTGTGGTGTGTGGTGGTGTGTGTGTTGTGTGTTGTGGTTGGTTGTGTGTGGTGCTGGGAGTGTGTGTGGTTGTGTGTGTGTTGTGTTGTGTGTTGTGTGTGGGTGGTGGTGGTGTGTGTGTGTGGTTGTGTGGTGTTTGTGTGTGTGTGTGTGTGTTGTGTGTGTGGTGTGTTGTGTGTGGTGTTGTGGTGTGTGTTGTGTGTGGGTGTCATGCCTACTGCTGTGAACATTGTTTCTGATTTGACAGACCTAAAGACACCGTCAGAAAGCCCTTAAAGAAAAGGATTAGGGAACAAGAATTCCAAGGAGGGCATGCTTGGACGCTTCAACGGTGAGTGTGAAATAAAAAGTACTACAGTATCCTATCAGAATCGAATACTTTTTTTTACAGTTTTCCCCCAAGTTCTGAAAATTCAAAGATATTTAGATGAAAATAAAATAGTAAAAAACATATGTAAAATAAACACAAGACAAAATAAAAACCAGACTATTGAAATATACAATATAATATTATAGTATTGTGTTTAGTAATTGTAATACATTGCACAGGTTAGACAGCCTATATAATTGGGGGCTTATATTCAACACTATTTATTTAATAAGAAAATACGCTTCAGCCTGTTTTTCTTTTCTAACGAATACATGAAAGAAAGCCTTTTACATTATAATATGGTTTTTATAAGTAAAAAGTAATTATTAATGTATGGTTATTGGAGTAAAAGGTAGGATGATTTGCCCTGAAATGTTGTGGGTTTAAAAAGTGTAAAGCAGCCGTATGAACAACGTATGTCAAGAATAGTACTTGATTAATGTTCTCAGGGTCCTTGAGTTAATGTTCTCAGGTCCCGCAATTCAATAAAGTCGACTGAAAGCATCCTTTGTGCTCCAGTCATCCTCCCAGTAAACTCAGAGCCTGAAATCCAATCAAAAAGCACTGCGAAGGCTCCTTGAGCATGTTTCTCTCACGGATTGTGTGTTATGTTTAAATGTTTGTTGTTGTTTTCCCCCGCCATGTATTGTGTCTTGATGTTTGTCTGTTGATGTTACACATGGAGCTGCTGTGATGCAACTCACATTTCAGACTTGATCTGACCACTAAAGTATTATCGTATCGTTTGAGTTATAAAATATAACTTGTTCTGCGCGTCAGGTCCTGGAGACGTGTGTGAAGAACTGCGGCTACAGGTTCCACATCCTGGTGACGACAAGGGATTTTGTGGAGGGCGTGTTGGTGCGAGCGATCATCCCGAGGAACAACCCTCCTTTAGTCGTCCACGACCGCGTGCTCAGCATCGTGCAGGTAGGAGGAAATGCTGCACAACACGTTAGGCAACACTGAGGCAACGTGGGAAAATAATCAGGGCTATTGTTTTGTAATGAGTCTTGGTGCGGTCAGGTTGCTCGACTGTAATTACCTCACCCTCTGTGACTCGTAATTATTAAATAGTGTTAATACTGCGCTACACATAGCTTTATTCATACTAATACATGTATGTATTTTTACATATTCATTGTTGTTATATATTGTAGTACAATGTGCACATTTTTACTTCTATGTTTATATATTATTAGATTTTCTTTGCACATTTTTCTTTTTCTTATATTTACTTAAAAAATATGTTTCTATTATCTGTTTATTGTGCATTTTTTATTTAACTTCACATTTTTATATACATATATTTTTCCCTATTATATTTGCACATCTTAATTTTAAATTCTTATGTTTACATAAATATTTTTATTTTATTGCATATTTTTTACTTTTAACTCTTATATTTATAATAATACTTGTATTTAATTTGTTATATATTTTTATTTTACATGCTTGGATAAATAAAGTATTCAGATTATAGTCCTATCCCCACAGGAGCGATGACTTTGTTTGACTCATAGCTTTCAGACAGTTTGCTAGTTGGCTAGTGTTGGCTTGCTAATTCCACCCAGCTTTAAAACAACACAGGTTGCAGATCATTGCTCAGCATCGTACATGTAAAAAGAAATGCCACCTAACGTGTTTGGCAACCCTGCGGCAGCCTGGAAAAGCACATCAGGGTTGTTGTATTGTAATGAGTCTTGGTGTGGTCACGTTTCTTTACTCTCTGATAATATCTGTGGTTTCCTCCTCCAGGCGTGGGCGGATGCGTTTCGCAGCTCTCCAGACCTGACGGGCGTGGTGTCGGTGTACGAGGACCTGCGCAGGAAGGGGCTGGAGTTCCCCATGACGGAGCTGGACGGGTACTCGCCTGAACAAGCGCCCAATAAGGTACAAGCATGCCTGGTGCTGGTATCTGGGTCGCTGCCTGTCATCTTCGGGCGTTTTTCTTTCTGGTCTTTTTGTTTCAGTGCCTTCGACTTTTCCTGTGAAAGGACCATTGGGATCACATTTTTGTAGCTTTTGCAAGTCTATGAAAGTTACAATCTTAAGTTACAATACTGAATTACCGTTTGGTGAAGGATTTGACTAAGACATTTTAGTTTAAGACACATGCAACATCTCAAACTGATTCGTTGGGTTAAAAAAAACAAGCAAAATTACATTATCAATCCATTCTAAAGACCCAAGACAATTCTTTGGTGTTCAAAGCCCTACAAACAGGTATAAGCATGTCTGGTGCTGGTATCTGGGTCGCTGCCTGTCATCTTCGGGCGTTTTTCTTTCGGGTATTTTAGTTTCAGTGCCTTTGTTTGACAGACTTTATCAAGGGACAATTTGGACCACTTTTTTGTAGCTTTTGCAAATCTATGAAATACTATATCATACTGCACTCATCTCATCGTTACCAACGTTGAGTAAAAGTTGGTCCCAATAGAGATTTTCATGGTATTGTGCAATTATTGAGATGTATAATGTATAGGATGGAGGGGGAGAAAGTTTGAGGCAAAGTAGTGCTGTCAGTGAGCTAAAGTTACAATACTGAATGACATGTGGTCACACGCTCAGAGACATTTTGGTGAAGGATTTGATTAAAGGCTATTTAGTTTGAGACAGTTACATCCAACATCTAAAAAAGCAACATTTAGTTATCAATATATTCTAAAGACCCAAGACCATGTTTTGGTGTTAAAGGGAAAATATTATTTTCTAAAGTTAAAAAACGTAGACTCTTAATGTCCAGGAATGAAAGGCCGAATTGGACAGGGGAATAAAAGCTCAAACTTCTTGATAAATATGTGGAGAGTGAACTTTATTTTAATTTGTTCCAAATGTTACTAGCACTGACACAACTAATGTGGCAAGAAATAAAGGAAAAATCAAATCAACAGCGGCAAAAATGTGTTGTTGTGGGTGCTACAAATCCTGTGGAAATTAGCCAAATAAACTGCAGATTTAATCTATAATCTCGAGCAACTGCACGTCACTAAATGTGAACCATGACCATCCAAGCCCTAAAAAAAAGGTATAAGCATGGCTGGTGCTGATATTTGGCTTGCTGTGCATGTGGGGGATCTTTGGGAGCACTAGAACAATCCAGTGTGGAAATTGCTAATTTGGCTTAACAAACTTTGATCAAATTGTGTGTGTATTATTTAAGAATCAGACTACTTTTATTTATCGCAGAAATAAATTGTGTTTAATGACAATTGCTCCAACAACTGAAATGGAATAAAAAGATAAAATCGAGTAAAAATATGTAAGTAAATGTTAGGAAAATCTCACTGGTCCCCGGCTTGAGCTTGAGTCTCAGGATCCATGTATCTGTGATCCTCTCCAGAATGGAAGTAGTCATCACATACAGAGCATCAACTAGTTCCTGAACAGTGTCCTTCACATGCTGATATCCAAGAGAGGGAGTTCCACAGTCACAAGATGGAGGAATAGAAAGCAGTATTCAATGTTTACTTCAGATTAGCTCCAC